GAATTAATGCTTTTGAATTGTGGTGCTGGAGGAGACTCTTGAGAGTCCCCTGGACTGCAAGGAGATGAAACCTATCCATTCTGAAGGAAATCAACTCTGAGTCCTCACTGGAAGGACAGATCCTGAAGCTGAGGCTCCAGTACTTTGACCATTTCATCAGAAGAGAAGACTCCCTTTAAAAGACCTTGATGTTGGGAAAATGTGAAGGCAAGAGAAGGGGACAACAGAGGATGAGATGGATGGACAGTGTCACTGAAGCTACCAACATGAATTTGACCAAACTCTGGGAGGCAGTGGAAGATAGGAGGGCCTGGCATGCTCTGGTCCATGGGGTCACAAAGAGTAGGACACGACTAAACGACGAAACAACAACAATGCAATGCTAATAGATGCTGACCATAATGAAATAAATTAAGTACATAAGATTACTTAACTGTATTAATAATCTCTTTATAAACAAAATATTATAAATAATCTTAAAAATTAATTTAGGTTTCAGTGGCTGAAATCCTGCTGCTTTGTGTAGTAAGTTATAATTAGGGTAGGCCCATTTGGATCAATGGAACTTACTTTTGCGTAGTAAGTTACAATTAGGGTAGGCCCATTTGGATCACTGGAACTTACAGAGCTGACTCATCAAACACTATTCTCCTATGACTTGCTATGCTAAATGACAGGATTTATTTATTCATTTATAAAACTTATATATCATCCACCTTAGTGAGATCAGGCTGACTCATGAAACACTATTCTCCTATGACTTACTATGCTAAATGACATGATTTATTTATTCATTTATAAAGCTTATATATCATCCACCTTAGTGAGATCAGTAATCAGGGCAGTTTACATTAAATTAAGCAAAAGTTATATAGAAGCAAGCAAATATAAGATCCCCATCCTCCCCCCAAACTAAATCAAGCAAACATTACAATTATATGAAACACTATTCTCCTATGACTTACTATGCTAAATGACATGATTTATTTATTCATTTATAAAGCTTATATATCATCCACCTTAGTGAGATCAGTAATCAGGGCAGTTTACATTAAATTAAGCAAAAGTTATATAGAAGCAAGCAAATATAAGATCCCCATCCTCCCCCCAAACTAAATCAAGCAAACATTACAATTATAATGAAAGTACAAACACCTCATAGTACCTGGTATAGTAATAGAAACCCTGACAAAATTGCAGTAAACTACATAAACTAAAATTTAAAAAACTGACAAAATACAACAAAAGATAACAGAATACAAAGTCATAGGTCAGTCTATGGAAGGCTGTTGCCAGGTAAAAGTAAAATTACAATAATATCCTTAGTTATTGTAGAATAAGCAGCTTTGCAAGACTTATATTTGACTTGTTACACTTAAATTTGTGTTGCACTTAAGCCCTTGAGGATTTGCTGCCATAAATCTTTTTTTAAGTTAAAAATGATAACTTTATTTTTTATTTATTTTATCCCTCTTCACTTTTCATTGTCTATAGTAGATTATAATCTTAAAGTCTTCTCTAGAAGAACATGCAGTACAAACATTTCGAAAGTGCACCATCTTGCATTTTTATAAAAATACATAAATGTACACAAAACGTGGAGAATGCGGGCATCGATCCCGCTACCTCTCGCATGCTAAGCGAGCGCTCTACCATTTGAGCTAATTCCCTTCCCCTTTTCTTCTTGGAAGACTCTGAATAAACAGCTTCAACACACACCGGGGTAACAGATTTAACACCAACTCATTCTAATACAGTACTGTGCCTCCTAAAGCAACAAAACAATACCTAGCAAGCATTAAGTGATCCCCTTTTTTTCTTGGAAGACTCTGAATAAGCAGCTTCAACACACACCGGCATAACAGATTTCACACTGACTCATTCTAATACTGTGCCTCCTAAAGCAATAAAACAATACCTAGCAAGCATTAAGTGATCCCAGGGATCAGGCAAAACAAAATCCTTCCCACACGCCTGCCAGAGTGCTTGGGAGCAGAGAAGTTTGTCCTTTAAAAAAAGGCAATGCTGAACAATAAATAGCTTTTTACAATCTTTTACTGCGAATGGTCGGTTAAGTTTCTAAAGGTTTCTCCCACTGAAATACATCCATTCCCATAACGGAATTCATGACTGCTGCAGAAAACTAAAGAACTCTGCTTTTGATTTTTTTTTTTATTTATCCTCTACAGTGGGGCATAAGTAATCATTTTATTATTACAAACATGTAAGTAACACCTTTAACGTATGCAGGCATCTATAGTCCTACCTCCCACATACTAAACAAGCAGTCTATCATTTGAGTTATTTTTCCTCCCATTCATTTTGCCTGATAAGCTGCAATTTAAAATGTGTAGCTTCATTTATTTTTTTAAACACATAATAGTAACTGATCA